CTTCATCCTCATCTAGTCCGCAACCATCGCCTTCTTCTTCTTCTGATGTAGAACTACCAATGATGATGGCCATTGGCGCAGCTGGTGTAGGCAGGTTTCCCTGCATAGCCGGCGCCTGTGCGTCGCTCGGCTGCCCCGGGGTAGGAGGCGCTGCTGTCGGCTCAGGCTCGTTGCCAAGCACAGGCTGCCCGGCAATGTTGCGCATGGCTGTATGGTTTGGCCACATTCCCACCGCCTGGAGACCCCATCCTGGCGGAGGAAGATCATGACCGCGCATGGCGATAGCCATTTCCAGAGCATTGCGCCATCTACCGCGGGAGTATATCAGGTGTCTCTGCACGTCCTCAGGATGCACGCTGTCAATGAGAGTCAGAGCTGCCAACAACAACTCTGAGCTACCGCAGGCGTCGGTATCCTGCAGTATCATGCTGTCAGCTTTGATGTGCTCTTGACTCTCGGGATACGCGGTGATAAGTATCTCATGCATCCTCGTGAGGGTCTGCAGGAGAGCGCGCGGTCCGTATTCGCCTGGGGCAAGCGAACCAGGGGGTATAAATGGGGTCTCTGGTTCACCTGCAATGAAAGCTTGAACGAACGCCTGAGACTCCATATCTATTAAGTCTTCAGTAGTTTGGGGATAGCCCCCCATCAGAGTAGGCCTGTTTCCAGGCGGGATTTCGGGGGGAGGTTGGAGGTTGCGTTCAACCTCGGAAGGCGAGGCCTCTACTGTGATGTCCTCGCCACTGCTTTCGTAAGCCATGATGTTACCTGGGTTCCCGAACATCCAGTCGAAGAAAGAAAGAGGCTGGTTTCTCAGCGCACCGTGATCCACGGGAGTGAGCTCGTTATTGCCAATAACGAACCGGCGGACGTACTCGAGGTAGTACGCGTACAATCCATGACCATACGCCTCGAGCTCGTCGGCGTTGTCCATGCAACTGACCCAAGTGTAAAATATCTGCTCCATGACTTCAAAATCCTGGAGGCTCAGATACTCAATGAATGGTTCACTTGAGCCAAAATGGACTTCGGTCGACCTGCCCTTTCCATTTCCCTTCGCTGGACAATCTCGCACAAGATGGTCGGTACTGTCACATTCATGGCATTTAAGAACCTGGCCGTCTCTACCTCGCGGGTTCCCCCGCCTACCCTTGCCTTTTCCTGAGGTCTCTCCACGGCCCTTGCCACGGCCCTTTCCCCCAAAGGATATCTCATCATTTTGTTCATCTGAGAGCCTCTGGAGAAATGCCGCGACGCCTCGTCCGTTCAACCTCCGACGACCTCGCTTACCTTTACCTTTTCCCTTAAAACTCCTCCGTATCCTCCTTCTAACACGACGCACTGGTTTTCGTGCGAACCCCCTCCACCTTCGTTTGGCCTGTTGTAATAACCAGAACAAATGTTCAGCGCGCTGATTGTCATTATCCATATTCATAATATCTGACCAATCTAAAGCTTCAACACCGTCTGATGATATAGTATATGTGTCGGTGCCGGAGTCGAAATCCTCGTCTCCCAAGTAGGTGGATACACCGTCGGTTAGGGGGTTTGATTCACCCCATAAGGAACGGTGTGGTTGTGGTTCTCTGGAAGGAGGGCTGGTTGCCCAGCTTGGTTGTGATCGATCTCCTGCTAGTAGAGCAGTGGATTCTCCAGGATCATCAGCCCATATGCTTGAGGGCCCGTTCCCAGGCTGGGCTTCAGTAGTCAAGGTAGTGTAGAAATTTCCACTACCAGATCCCCTTCCCCTTCCAAACACAGATCCTATATTACCAGGAGACCGTTCGGATAGGTGGCCTATCGAACGCATCCTCTCCAGCAACTCATCATACTGTTGTTGTGTTCGGGGCATTTGGTGATTGAGTGGCTGTAAGAGTTGCATGGCTCGCTGGTTGCCGACGCCTAAGGCGCGGAACAAGATCGTGGTTAGTAGTTGGAAGTTGGGAAGGTCAAATCCCACCGACTGTGCCTCAAGTCGGGCCATTTCGAATCGTGTAAGGGTGACATCGATTCGTTCCCCGTGAGGCACGTGGAAGTCGATGAGTTGTGTGCCGGAAGTGAGCTGGCGCTCATCTTCCAGGCGCTCGAACTTCATGCTTAGGAGGAACATGATGTAGGTCACTGGGTCAGTGTGGACCCCATCGATGTCAGCACCATAATTTATGATGTCAGGCGGTACCCTCATGGCGAGTGTCCTCGCTAGGCCACCTAGGCCGCGTTGTATGGCGGCCGCTTGGGCCTGTGGCGTCATACGTCCGCTTGTGACGTTGAGCCATGCGTTGACCTCATAAACGTACTCGCGGAAAGGTACGTTGCCTTGAGGGTCCCAATATGGGCCATGTGTTTGCCCATCGGTGCTGTTGTCTCCACGACGCATGTGTCCGATTGCTGCCCCCAGCGCGAACCATATGATAGCGAAGATAACCAGCCCAAGGCTGTGTAGATAAGGGCGGTTATTAGGCGCGTTGCCGCGCTGGGGTAGCGCCTTGTCGAGTCTTCGAGGCGCTCTATCTGGCGGATCTCTCCGCCCCTGCTTCAAGTATTGCGCTTTTGGCTCGTTGCCGAGCGGTTGGTGGTAGCGCAATGATGAAGCGTATATGGTACCAATATCGTTGTCCAGACGTCGTACCTCTCGTGTCGCTTCTTGTTCTTGGATAGATCCTCGTAAACGTACTGGGAGTAAGAGCGCAGGGTGGTAGGTGGTCACGAAGATCGTGCCGAAGAGTACGAGGCTAAGAAGAGCAAGAGCTGACCACACGAGAGTGCGGCCAGCTCCGCTACCAAGTCGAAAGTGAGCCTGGTAACTCAAATAGTATCCGCTCCCATGGGAATCGAATGGCAGATAGCGTCCATTCCTCTGCTGCGGTGGTTCAGTATGGGGAATGGGCGGGTATGATAGGATAAGATCGATGTATCGGTCTTTCCAGCACATAGCGAACACTAAGGTAAGTGTCCGGGCAAATAGGGCGCGCGTGCCTTGAGCCACAGGCAACGGCGCGCGAGCTATGCTCCCGATACTATAACATCTCCCAAAGAGCTACCCTTAAAGTTTGGGGAGATTGTGTCGTTTCCACCTTTTCGGCTTCCCCACACCCCAAGACGGCCTTCGAGGCCTCCAAGACCGCCCCAAGAGGGCACGAGAGGCCCCCAAGACGGCTCAAGAAGGCCCCAAGAACGCCCCAAGAGAGGTCCCAGGGGGGGGGAACACGAATCAGCATTTCGAGCCCTCGGCCCTAAGAAGCCACCAGGAATCCCCAAGAGGCCCCTAAGAGGCCCCAAGACGCCCCCAACAGGCCCTCAGGAAGCCCCCCAAAAGGCCCCCAAGCGGCCCCAGGATACCCCCCAAATGCCCCCCCCCCCCCGAGCACGCAAGCAGGTGCCAACGACCCGACGCGTGTGAGAGTCCCCACGAGGCCACCAAGAGGCCTCCCGAAAGAGCCCCCATAGGCAAAACGCTTCAAAACGGCCCGCGACGCGTTCAAGACTCCCCCAGCGGCCACCAAGAAGCCTCACATGCCGAACGCAAAGCCTGATACAGCCACCGCCCCTGCAGCTCCTCACCGCGAACAACGGCACGCAATTATGGGCCGACGGAATGAGCGAAGCGACTCTAAAAAACTGTTAGGAAGTCCCATGCGAGAGCGCGCTGCCAATATAAAGTGTGACGAAATCCCGCGCAAAGGCACGATTTCAGAATACATTGTGAGGAGGTGGCAGGCGGGAGGCGTTGTTGTTGTTGTAGCTCGGGGGTCAAGAGCCACATCTGAGCCGCAATAATTCCCCTTATTTAAAAAAGGTGCGAGTCCCAGGAGAAGCACTTTCTTTGAAAACACAATGGTCACAGGAGGGGGACAGCGACAGCCTCGGCGTCGTCATCGTCATCGTCGTCATCATCATAATCATCATCAGCAGCATCATCATCAGCATCAGCATCAGCATCACCATCACCATCCTCCTCCTCCTCCTCCTCATCATCATCATCATCCATCATCATCAGCATCATCATCGTCATTGTCATCGTCATCGTCATCGTCGTCATCATCATCCTCATCATCATAGTCATCGTCAGAGACATCGTAAGCTTCTTCTTCTCCATCAACAATCAGCACCATCATCATCAGCTGCATCAGCACTATCAGCACTATCAGCAACACCATCCTCCTCCTCCTCCTCCTCTTCATCATCATCAGCATGATCAGCATCATCATCCACATCACCACCACCATCATAATCAGCATCACCATCATCAGCACCACCATCATCATTCGTATCAGCATAATCATGATACTCATCTTCGTCACATTCAGCATCATCATCATCTTCATCTTCATCTTCATATTCCTCTGCATCGTCATCTGCATCTGCATTATCATCAGCAGCAGCAGCCTTATCATAAACACCGACCATCGTCGGTCATCATCATCATCAACAGCATCATCACCATCATCATCACCATCACCATCACCATCATCATCATCGTCATCACCATCACCATCGTCATCACCATCACCATCATCATCATCGTCATCACCATCATCATCAGCAGCATCATCACCATCACCATCATCGCCATCACCATCACCATCACCATCACCATCACCATCACCATCACCATCACCATCACCATCACCATCACCATCACCATCACCATCACCATCACCATCACCATCACCATCACCATCACCATCACCATCACCATCACCATCACCATCACCCTCACCCTCACCCTCACCATCACCATCACATCACCATCACCATCATCATCATCATCATCATCATCATCATCATCATCATCATCATCATCATCATCATCATCATCATCATCATCATCATCATGATCAGCATCATCATCCCTCCTCCTCCACCTCCGCCTCCTCCTCCTCCTGCTCCTCCACCTCCACCTCCTTCTCCTCCACATCTTCCCCTCCTCCCCAAGCGGTGGCGGCGGCCCGCGGCGGAGCGCGCGGGCGGGGGGGGGCAGGCAGCGCGCGCGGGCGCGCCGCTGTGGCACCGCGTGCTACCGCAGACGCACAGGCCCCGGGCTGCCTCGGCCCGCGCGCGCGCGCCCCGATCCTCCTCCTCCTCCTCCTCCTCCTCCTCCTCCTCCTCCTCCTCCTCGTCGTCGTGCCTCCTCGTCGTCGTGCCTCCTCGTCGTGCCTCCTCGTCCCTTCCCGCCCCTCCTGGTCCCTTTGCCAATTCTCCCTCCTCCTCGCTCCTGCTTCGCCAGCTGGGCCGAGGGCCTGGGGGGGGGAGTGATGAAGGAGAGGGGGGAGGCAGAGATGAGGGGGAGAGGGGGCTACAAGGAACATCCTGGAGGCCTCATGCGGAGACTCGGGACCCAGTTTGTAGGGTTTACGTCGGATCATCACCGCGCGGATGTCGTCCCAGATCTTACTGAGCGAACGTATAGACTAGACAACTCAACTATTGGTCGTAGTGGGGCGGTCGGCAAGCGAGGAGAGATTTATTGCGAGGCCAACGAAGACACTTTGTCTCCCACGAAGCAAGAAATTCTTTTCTCAACCGAAATGATCGGACGCCCCAAGGGGGGGATATCCTGGAGGGGAGGGCGAGTAGAAACTCGAGCCGGCGGAGAGATGCAGGAAAAGGCGGGCTGCGCGCACGTGACGCAGATCTGCCACCCTAATGCCGATGACGCCAGGCGAAATGTCCGCCCTGCCCCCGAGCGATACACTCCGTAGAACGCCACCCGTCGCCATGACGAGACCAAGCGGGCGTTAGCAGGAGGCGGCGGGGAGGCCGAGGAGAAAGAGGATCAGCAGAAAAGGAAGGATTTGGGCTTGCGACGCTGATGAAGCTGACAGTCTGTCAGTCAAGGCCAGCACGGCAACTAGCTGAACATTGAGTGAGGCTGAAAGCTGAAAGACTCTGCACTGGCGCCGAAAAAGCAAGCACTGTAAAGCAGCCTCAGCGAAGAAATCGACAGGACGCGTCGGCCCCGAAGCGCCGAGGCTAGCGACAGAGCATATCCAAGCCAGATCCCCCACACCACGCTATCCAAGCACCCCCATCTCCACATCAAGCAGCAGGGCCATAAAGGGAAGGGGGAGAAGAACGACGAGAAGACCGACGGCGAGGAAACGGCGCAGATTGCCCGCCCGAATACGAGGAACACCTTCACGAGTCGGCTGCCTCCAAATTCTACGGTCTAAGACAGGCCTGCATGGGCCCTGAGCACAACACCGAATATGAATCGCCAGCACGGGAGAGCATGTACCCTCCCACACATGTCTATACATGTGTGTACGTACACACCTATATATAACTATGTACGTTACATATGTATGTAGTATGTGTCATATATATATATATATATATATATATCCGCCGGCCCCCTTGTGGGGCCACCAGGCTGTAGGCACGGGTTCGCAGTTTCCTGTACCAGTTGTAGCTTGTAGTTTCCAGTGTTACTAGTTGACTTCTTGCTGGTTACTGTAACTAGTTGACTGACCGCGCGAGGGGGGGGGAGGCCCAAACAGGATTTTCCAGCGTCCCCTGGGCGCGTTGTCTGAATTGCTGGGGGGGCTCGAAATCGACACCCCTCACGCAGATCCGCGGGGTCAGGGTCCAAAAACACAGGGGATTTGCCATGGGTCCAAAAACAAGGGGATTTGCCACATTTCTGAAATTCGGTGCCACCCCTCACGCAGATCCGCGGGGTCAGGGTCCAAAAACACATGGGATTTGCCACATTTCTGAAATTCGGTGCCACCCCTCACGCAGATCCGCGGGGTCAGGGTCCAAAAACATACGGGATTTGCCACATTTCTGAAATTCGGTGCCACCCCTCACGCAGATCCGCGGGGTCAGGGTCCAAAAACAAATGGGATTTGCCACATTTCTGAAATTCGGTGCCACCCCTCACGCAGATCCGCGAGGTCAGGGTCCAAAAACATACAGGATTTGCCACATTTCTGAAATTCGGTGCCACCCCTCACGCAGATCCGCGGGGTCAGGGTCCAAAAACATACGGGATTTGCCACATTTCTGAAATTCGGTGCCACCCCTCACGCAGATCTGCAGGGTCAGGGTCCAAAAACACATGGGATTTGCCACATTTCTGAAATTCGGCGCCACCCCTGACGCAGATCCGCGGGGTCAGGGTCTAAAAACACAGGGGATTTGCTACATTTCTGAAATTCGAACCCATCACGCACATCCATCGCAAGGCGTGGTAACCCAAACTGCGAGAACTCCCTCGGCCCTTTCATCGCAAGGTGTGGGAACCAAGCCCTTAAACCATACACGTCTTACCAATCGCCAGGTGTGGTAACCCTTCTTGTGATCAGTTGGTTTTGCTGATTGCGACTCGGCTTCGCATGAAGATTCGATACTGCTTCACGACAGCGCCAAGGCCTCATGACTTAGCTCTTCCATGGCCCATTCTCCGAGAGAGGGGGCAGGCGGCAGGGGGCGAAGCCCTTACGGATATACATATATATATATATATACACACATATAAATATATATATATATATATATATGTATATATATATAAATGTGTGTGTATGCACATCCATATGTGCGTTAGCATGAAATGCTCTTACCTGGTAATTCAATGGCCCAACGGGTCAGAAACGTGCAAACATTGCCCATTCAGAATTTAAGAATGATTCTAATTCGCACGCGCGTGGCGGCCCCTGGGGGTCCGCGGACGAAAAGTACCCCAGCAAGGTCCCAGCAAGCTCCTGGCAAGATCGGTTCAGATATGCAGGAACTCCCAGGCGCGGCCTGGGGCCCCCACCCCCGAACGCCCCAATGAGGCGCCAAAAAGGTGGCACGCACCACGGCCTCAGGCCAAGAGCGTTCCAAGATGGCCCACGGTTGTCCGAAGTCGGCCCAAGAAGCGCCCAAGACGCTCCAGGACGGTTGCAAAAGGACTTCGAGAGGCCCCGCAAACGCAAACAAATATTCATTTTGCGTGGGTTTTCAAGCGATGTTGCCGGTACCGCCCTACCGAGCTGCCGACCGCCCTGGATGGCCAAAGAAGCCCCAAGATCGCTCCAAAACGGCACAAAAAAGCTTCCAAGAGGACCCCCAAATGGCCCAAGATGGCCCTGAGACGGCCCAAGAGGCCTCCAAGACAGCCCCAGGATGGCCCCAAGAGGGGGCCCAGAGGGGGAGCCCGAACAGACATTTCGAACTGTCGGCCCCAAGAGGCGCCCAAGAAGCCCCAAGAGGCCCCCACGAGCCCCACAAGAGGCCCCAAGAGGCCCGCAAGAGGCTCCAAAAGAGGCCCCCAAGACCCCCAACAGGCCCAGGAAGCCCCAAGAGGCCCCCAAGAAGCCCCCAACAGGCCCCCCTGAGGCCTCAAAACTGCTGCCCTGAGGCTCCCGAGAGCCCTCCGAAGAGACCCCAAGAAGTGCACATGAGGATTCTGACACACAAATCAGGTTCGAGACTCTGCTAGAGCTCTTGAGCCATGTTGGCGCCCTCTGGTGCAGTCGATCGGCTCTTCCACAGGGTGCGAGCCACATCTCCAAAGATCTCCTCGAGGACAATCCTGCCTGCCCCACCGTTTCCCATGAGTACGAGCACACCACCATGCAGCCACCGTGATGCGAGACGGGCCGGCGGAGTGAGCGAAGCGATTAAAGAAGAACTGGTGGTTGGAAGCCTCTGCCAACTTTGCTGATACGGCTGCTGCTCGTTACTTACTACTTTGCTGATGCCGCTAGTGTGACTGCTGCTGAAATCGCCATTGCTATCCATGCTGGCGTTCATGTCGTTGTTGCTGTTAGTGTGGTTAATATGTTGCCGTGGCCACGATTGAGTTACAGCTCATGTCGTCTTTGCTGTTCATGGTGTTGTTATGTTGCTGACCATGCTGTTATGTTCTGACATTATTGTCATTACCTAGGTGATGCAGTCATTGCTGGTGTTGCTACTGTTCCGCATATCGTTGCTCAGGTCGTCGTTGCTCATTTTGCGATTAAGTCGCTAACCCTAAACATGCTTGAACATGACGCGTTCTTACCTGGCATTGCGAATTGCTTTATCGGAGACTCCTGGCTCCGTGGGCCAGCTGTGGGCCCAGCGCTTTGGACCTCGAAGAATGTGGCGGCCCTCACAGGGACGGCGCCCCTTCTGGTGGGCCGGAAACCTCTGCCGGCTCTGTGGGCCAGCTGTGGGCCGGGCACTTTGGCCTTCGAATTGTGGCGACCCTCACAAAGATGGCTCCTGGTGGGCCCGAGGCCTCTGCCGGCTGTGGGCACGACATAGATCGAATGTTAATCCGAAGCGCAGCAGGTGGGAAGAAAACACGCCTGCTGCCTGCTGCTCTACTCGTCGAACTGCAATGCCAGGGGGCACGGAAGCAAATGCCAAATGCTACACCTGCCGCTACATGGCAACGCCAGGGGGCGAAGCGGAACGACTACGTTCCTCTACACGTCAAGTGGCAACGCCAATGGGCGGAACGACGAAAAAAACAAAAAAAATAAAGAAGAAAAAAAAAAAAAAACAAACAGAAAAAACAAAAAAAAAAATAGAACAAACGAAAAAGGGTCTACGGAAGAAAAAAAAAAAAACGACAAACAAACAAAACAAGAAAAACACAAAAAAAAAAAAAAAGAAACCAAAAAAGAGCATAAAAAAAAGAAAAAAACAAAAAAAAAAAAAACGAAAAAGAAAGAAGAGAAAAAAAAAAAAGAAAAAAAAACAAAACCAAAGAAGAAAAAAAGAAAAAAAAAAAAAAAAGACAATAATAACAAAAAAAAAGAAAACAAACAAAACAAAGAAAAGACGAAAAGAAACAATCGGGCGATAGAAGAGAGAAAAAGGGGAGAAAAAGCGGAACGACAGCAAATACTCCAGTCGAGCCGTTACGTGGCAGCGCGAGGGGGGCAGAACCAAAACACCACTCTAGTCTGCTCGTCACGTGGCAGCGCCAAGGCGGAACACACACTTCGACAACGCCCGGAAACGGAACACACAAAAAAAACTACTCTTCTCAACTCGCCACGTGGCATCGCAAAGGGGGTTACTATTCTACGCCAACCGCTGCTCCTCAAACGACCACGCCGACGAAGACGAGGACGAGGACGCACGGCGACGACGACTATACTGCACTGTCAATCTAGGCTCTAGGAGCGGTGCTCGGTTCGTTACTTCCTCAACGCATTGAATCTCGCGGCAGGCGATGTGACCAGCCTCAGAAGCAGGGAGGGAGACGTGTTCTGAGTACTTATCGAAGGGAGTTCTGTGCCACACTTGCGCGGGGGAGGGGCGCTCTTTCGGGCAGTCTGCAGCGCCCTGGTTATCCGAGAGGCCTCAGCTCAGGGGCCGCCTTATAACCCCCAGGGAGCAAGACCAGCAGCAAAGCTGGCAATCAAAATGTTATGGCGATCCTTTCCGTGCTCCCCCCCCGCCCCTCACACGTCTCTCCCGACCTCCCCCCATCCTTTTCCACTGGCGTCGGTACGCCCGATAAACTGGCGAGGCGCTGCAAAAATTGCATTCGCAAGGCCTGTTCACTGGTAACGTGTCCTGCCAGAACAATCGCAAGCACCGTCCCCGAATGCATCTGGCTTGTGACGGTCTGTGCTGGCTAGTCTCCCGACCGCTGGACTCCCGACGGTGCTGCTCCACCCCCCGTCCGCGACCCTTCTTCCGAGCACCTCCCTCCACTTCCTCGAGCAGCGGGGGGTGGGGGCTAGGGGGAGGGGCCGAGAGGGGGAGGCGAGAGGGGCAGGGAAGGGGGAGATGGACGAGGAGCGAGCGAGCGGGGGATGGAGGGGGGGAGGGGCAGCCAGGAGGAGGCGGCAGCCAGGAGGGGGGGGGGGCAGGGAGAGAGGGGCGGGGCGGAGCGCGGGGCGCGGCACAGGCGGGCGGAGCGCGCGGCGGAGCCGGGCCCGGGGCAGCTGGGGAGGGCGCCCCCCCGTCGACGCACAGGCCCACCTCGGCGCACGTGCCCTCGGACAGGCTGCACATCTCCCTCGCGCGGCACACGGCGCCGCCCTTGCCGCACTGGCACTCCTTTCGCACCGCCATCGTGCTACCATGAGGAACGCTAGAGCAAGGAACGCAGGGGCTTTTCTGGCCACGGCGAGCCTCGGCCACGAACACAGGTTCCCCGACAGATCTAAGGAACGGCCCGAAAACCAGAACCACTCCTGAGCCCAGCGAAGCGACCCACCCACCTCACCTGGGTCTCATGTCCTTGAAGGATGTTATTCTGCCCTAGGTCCGACCGATGTTCCCACCGTCTTGAATGTAAGATGAGGCCAGGACAGGGAAAAAATCTGACCACGATAAATTGGGAATCTCGGAGACAGGGCGGTTCTGGAGGATGTATTGGACGCCGCGGCCTTGTCAGAGCGTTCCAGAACGCTCTGGAACGATCTATACTTATCCTAGCCCTGCCAGAAGGCGGCAATTTCTGGGAGGTCACTCGTAAGAACGATGAAGGGCTGTTGAGCCAGATTAGAAGGCCAGATTAAGCCAGATAAAGTCCGGGATTCAGCTGGATTGAGCGGAACTCAGCCAGATGAAAATGGTTTCCGACCAGGGATATACCATGCTACCGCCGATGCTGAACTCCACCTCCCAAGAGCTTAAAGCTTATAGACTCCTTCATCGAGATCTGGCCGTCCAGGCACGCCGGAGGGCCCGTCGCGCAATGGCCTACGCCGGACGACCCTGGGGCCCAGCCACCGGCCATGTAGCACCGCTCCCCGCTGTGGCACGTCTCGTTCCCGCAGGTGCACTCCGCCTTGGCCTCCCTCTCGGGCACACAGGCCGGGACCTTCGCAGAGGCGTTGGCGGGCGGTGGCGGTGGCGTGGATGCCAGGCCTGAGCTGGATCGGAAGCGCATCGGATAGCCATCGAAGCGTCCCGAATCGAATCGAATCGGATCGCCGCGCCCAGCTCCGGCTGGCCCCAGCCGATGCCGATGAATCGACCCGAATCGGAATCAAGGGTCCAGCCGGCAAATGGAATCGCATCGAATCGGACCGTAGGCAGTGCTTCCGGCAGGCCTTTTTTTGTTTTCTGCAACTCGTCCTCGACCTCCTCAATGGCGTCGTCCTGCTCACTGACCAAATCCTTCATCTCGGCGACCTGCTGCCTGTCGGCGTCGGGGACATCGTCTCCGTCGTCCTCCCCGTCGTCCATCTTATCTTCCGCTGTGGAAATGCCCGCCTTCGCGTCGGCGAGGTCGTCCTTGGCCCGGTCCAGCTCCTCATCAGCCTCCTCCACGGCGGCCTCCGCCTCCTTCCGCTCCTCCTCGTTACCGCTCTGCTCCAGCCTGCGGCGCGCCTCTTTCGCCCTCCGCTCCGCCGCCTCGGCTGCCCTCCTGGCGGCCAGGATGTCCTGTATCAGCTTGTCGATCTTGGCCATGATCTCGGGGTCTGGCGAGTAGTCGTCGGTCCCGTCTACCTGCTCTAGCAGCTGGCGCGGGCGCCCTCTCTCTCTCTCTCTCTCTTTTTTCTCTCTCTCTCTCTCTCTCTCTCTTTCTTTCTCTCTCTCTCTCTCTCACTCACACTTTTTTCGTCGGCGACTAGGCAGAGTGACTGCGCTGGCGGACGAGCATTGGTAAGACACACAAATTCGAATCAAACCGCATGCACGGGGGAGAGAGGAGGAACGCCCCGCGGTGGCAGGAGGGAGACGGAAGCCGGGCCCGCTCAGAGCAGGGCCAGGCGGCGGCGGGGTGGCGCCGGGGGCGGGGGCCAGCAGCAGCGGGACAGCAGCTGGGGGGGGGGGGAACAGGCATGGCAGGCTGCCATGCAGCAGGTCGTGCTGGGGGAATCAGTGCCCAGCAAAGGCTGGCGGGAAGGTGTGCACGCAGCGCCAGGGGCCACATGGTGCCGAAGTAACACAAGCCACGAGGGCACCCAAGCCGGCGGCGACGGACAGCCTCACTGGAAGGGTCGGCCTGAAAACCATGCAAAGCGAGGAAGCGCGCGGGACAGGGCGCGGGCGGCAGAACCAGCCCAGGCCCCAGGCGGGGGGGGGGGGCGGGACACACACACACACACACACACACACACACACACACACACACACACACACACACTGTTTGGCGATAGCGGCTTCGCGCGCAGCGACGAGGCGGAGTCAGCAAAAGTACTAAGCTCGCGGACGTTGATGGGAACTCAAGAATCGCTTTTGATATCAACGCACCTGCCGCCACACAGCACGTCCGGGCGTAGATGGCAGGGAGGTGACACGCCAGCCGAGGGCCTTGCCCGACGCGGCGGCATGAGCTGAGGAGGTGCGCCATACAGCGCATCCGGGCGTGGATGGCAAAGACGTGACACGCCAGCCGAGGGCCCTACCCAGCGCGGCAGCATGAGAAAAGAATAGAGACGAAGAACACCAGCGAAATGCCACCGGAAAGGAGACGCCGCTCCAATGCAAAATGCGGGGGTGCGGCAAGAGCAGCACAGAGCTGCAGGAGCGAGGCTCCGAGGACGATAGCGGCGGGGCCAGTACCCACGGGCGAAGGGAGGAAAGCGGCCCAGGGCCGAGAGAGGAGGTGCGGGAGCGCGGAACGGCAGCGCGGGCCCAGGAGCACACACACACACACACACACACACACACACACACGCACGAACGCACGCACGCACGCACGCACGCACGCATGCACGCACCCCCACACACACACACCAATACATGGCCTGTGGGACGAAACCTTCAAGCAAACAGCGAGAGACCCCTGGGCGCGCCCCCGCCGAATGAGGGATCTCCCTGGGGGCGTCAACTGCGACCCGCAGCACTTGAGATCGGCGATGCATCGCCGATAGATCGGCGATGGGCCCTCGATCGCGAAACCGCAAGTTGCTGGGCGGGGTGGGGGACACAGGCCCCGATAGGCGAGAATGTGGCTGAACGTGTTTATGCCCCAAAGTATCCGCAAGTGTTCCAGGGGTGCGGTTCCGCAATGAAAGCTGCCCTCGCGAGGCCCAGAGCCCCCCCACCCCCTCCCCCCCCCCAACGGTTCTGGCACGGCTGGGAAGTTAAATGCGCTTTGAAACAAAGGCACCGTCGGCAACGTCAGACGAAGCTTGCGCGCACCATCCAATGCATAGTTGTTATTGTGGTGTCTGGTTAGGTCAGTGAGTTATCGGCCATTTTCATGACCGCGCGCTGCCAGGACATGTTCGCCGTGATGTGTGAGTTCTTCGATGGAGGATGGACCCGCTCGGACCCGCGGAACCGATGCCGCGCGGGGCGCGGCAGCGCGTGCGGCGTCGCAATGTCCCTTGCCGCCTCTGCCGCTGGGTCCGCAATGTTGCGGTCATCGTTCTACATGGTCGTTACCGATGCACGCGTTGGCGTCCAACGCGTTGCCGCCGCTCTTCTCTGTAGCACCGCCCATTGTGTTTTTAGTGTTTGGGGGAGATGCCCTCGGGCCCGCTGCCATAAGTGCGCTCGCCAGCGTTCTCGTTACCGCCATGCCAGTAGCCGACCGCATCGCTGCGTGCCAAGTCACGTTGATGTGCTGGACCCCCATTGCCGACGCACGCAAGACTACCCAGCTCGCCGCCACCTCCCTCGCCATCGCGTCATGATCACCGTACATCGCGTCCTGCTTGTTCTTGCATTGGCATCATTATATCACGTCGTGCTGTCCCGCGGCCACCGCATGCCGCAGACTCGGGGTGATTGGCGACGTGCCTCAGCCACATAGTTCCAAGAGCCGTAGCCTTACTTGTTAACGTTGTTCGGACGCTGTGAAGCGGAACCTTCTGGTCGATCAGAAACACGTCCGCTATCTCGCCGGCGATGCGAGCGCAGTCCTTTGAACTCAAAACGAGGCGTCAAACCAGCAACCCTCACCACCACCACCACCACACCCCACCCTCGCACCCCCACCATGGCGGCATTGGAGCACGCCTACATCTGGAACCCCGCCCACGGCAATGACATGCCGCCAGACCACGTCTGGCGCAAGATCGGGCATACCCAGTCTTTGCGCCTGGCAGCTGGCGAGAACGAGGATGGCTGGGATAAGGGCGGGTGGGTGGCGCGCATTCGGTCGGCCCCGCCCCACCGCCCCCCCCCCCCCGCCCGCCCCCCTCCCGGACAGTTTCACCGCGTGCGTGTGGCCCTACTTCATCGAGTACCGCAAGACGGCCGACATGGTCGTCACGCGCGGCGTCGCATGCCACGCCTGGCCGCAGCGGGCCCAACGATGGACCCCATCATCGCCCGCGCGTACATGGACATGAAGGTGCACGCCACCCTCCTTTCACGCAACGACCAGGCGCCTGCCCTGTCGCGATCAGCGCGCGACGTCTGCGTCCACGCCGCCGATCGCCCCGATTGCCGAAGCCGATGCTAGCGGCCATACCGACCGATTGCCGATGCTAGCGAATGCCGATGCCGATTGCCAGTGGCCGATGCCGATGCTGGCGATGTCAGAGATTTGGTGGGCGCGATTGCGCCTCTGGTTCGGACGTGCGCCGCGCGGCTGACGTCGCCTCGCATCGTTGGATACGCAATGGTCGAGAAGGTGGATTGGTCGACCACTCGGAGTTTCACGCAGCGCCGCGCCCAGGCCGCCCTCGGACTACCGCCCCGCCGCCAGGTCGTCCCCGATGCGGATGGCAACCAACCAAATCCTCGCATTCGCGTGGGCCCATCGCTCGGGTGCCGCGCCGCGCGCCGCCGCTTCGGCCGAGGCGCGGGCTCGGAGCTAGCGGAAGACACAATTGACTGTGCTATATGGTTTTGAATTCGGGCTGCGTAAATTGAACAATCTTCGAAAGTGTTAATGTGAACACCTGGGCGGATATTAGCCCGCGCCCCTGTCGGTTGCAAACAGGGACGGGGATTTGTCGCTGGGGCCTCTGGTTATCGTTGCGATTGCGTCCCTCGTGCATATGTGGCGCGCTGCCGCGTGCACAATAGTGTTCGCATATCAGATGCACGCACGCAACCGTAACTTTCTGAACGCGGCAGAACAGGCTTGCGGAGTCGCATTCTTGCATCAATGCTCCGCGGTTACATGTCGCGTCTAAGGGCCAAGCATGCATAGCGACAGCTTTGGGGTATAACTTCAGAGGACCCCTTCCCAAGCCGCTTCTGGTCAAAGGCGACACCCCGGCCCCCCGTCGCCCGCCCCCCCCCCCCCCCCCCGCGCCGCACAGACATGGCTGCCGCGGCGGCCGCGGTGCCGCAGATGCTGGAGCAGGCGCAGTACCTCCAGGTTCAGATTGGGCAGGGCGTCGACAATCTCGCGCCCCTCAAAACCATGGGACATAGCAGGGCAAACAACCGTTTCTATCCTAATGATACATCGGAGTGCATCTTTGGACGTGTCATATATTTCTGAAAAGGGCAATACAGCCCCCGAGCCCTGCCCCCCCCCCCCCCCTTTCTCCCCTGCCCCCCCCCCCCCCCTTCTCGCGGGCGGGTTAGACCATCTGGGTCGACCTGCACAGGGTCGGCGCAAGCGCGCAGCGTCCTCCCTCACACCGCGCGCGCCCGAGGGCGCGAGCGGTTCCTGCGCAACCAGTTGACGGTTGCGCTTGCAAGCGGTCGGTCCCCTCGCGTCAGCGGCCTTGACACCGCCAGATCTCACCGTGGGATGCCCGCGGGGCGTCGTCAGCGATTCGATCGATTCCCGGCCCTTCGTCGCCCTGGTTCGCCGCACGGCGGGAGGCGCGTCGCGGCCAGGATTCTTCGAGGATAACGGGGCGGGGGCGATGCGACGATGGGCGTTTGCCAGGTCACCGCGGAAATCCTGGGGCGCGCCTGGGATTTCCTCAAGCCGTCTGCTGGCGCGTCGTTCAGGCCGCACCCGACCATAGACCCCGCGGACAAGGACGCGGCGCTTAGGATAAGTGCTATAAAAAAGCTGTTGCTCAGCACTAGTTGATGTTTATTGCTGTCACGAGCGCCAGCCACGTCTTGCGTTTAGATTGCCCGCCCCCGCAGGTGCTGCCGCATGATCCAGGCCATTGGCTCCGCGACACCCTGGTCTGCGGCCCCGGCTTCAACCCGAGCGCGCCCGTCGAGCACGACGCGGCGCGCCTGGATTTTAAGACCGCGGCGACGATGGCGTCGCCGAGGTTCGCTACCAGCCAAATCACCTGCCCTCACAAGCCCAAACGCCCGCAAACCGAACGGAAAACGCGGTGCTTTCGGCGAACCAGAAGAACGAGCTGGCGAAGGAGTGGCCTCTGAGGATGGCCATCGATGCTCGGCGCGGCCCGCGCCAGGCCGGCGCGCGTCGGCGCTGGCACAGACGGCCTGGCATGTGTGGTCTCTCTCTCTCTCTCTCTCTCTGTCCCTCTTCCTCTCTCTCTCTCTCTCTCTCTCTCTCTCTCTCTCTCTCTCTCTGTCTCTCTCTCCCTCTCTCTCTCTCTCTCTCTCTCTAGTCTCGGCTC